CAGGCAGAGAGCTCTTCGATGACCCTTCCTATGTCAACATCCAGAATTTAGACAAGGCCCGCCAAGCTGGGGGTGGGTCTGGGCCTCCCAATCCTTCTGTTAATGGAAGTGCACCTCGAGACCTCTTTGACATGAAGCCCTTTGAAGATGCCCTCCGGGTGCCTCCACCTCCCCAGTCCATGTCCATGGCTGAGCAGCTCCAAGGGGAGTCCTGGTTCCATGGGAAGCTGAGCCGGCGTGAGGCTGAAGCCCTGCTCCAGCTCAACGGTGACTTCTTGGTGCGAGAGAGCACAACCACACCTGGCCAGTACGTGCTCACTGGCCTGCAGAGTGGGCAGCCCAAGCACCTCCTTCTGGTGGACCCTGAAGGTGTGGTTCGGACAAAAGATCACCGCTTTGAGAGCGTCAGTCACCTCATCAGCTACCACATGGACAATCACTTGCCCATCATCTCCGCGGGCAGCGAACTGTGCCTACAGCAACCCGTGGACCGGAAAGTGTGATCTTCAGTTGTCCTGGATGCCCTCCACCCCTTCAACTGCGTCCTCTAACTCCTGGGACCTATGTTTGTGCACACCTGAGACAGGGAATTTTAGTTAGAAACCTGGGGTAGCATCCTGCTTCTGCCCAAACCTCACCAAAGTATTAATGTACAGAGTGGTCCCTTGCCTGGGCCTTGTCTGTGCCAACCTGATGCCCTTTCCCCCAAAGGGTAGGTTCTTAAAATGGAAAAAGACCCAGTGGAGCAATTGCCCTTTGGGGGAAGGGAAGTAATCATACCTCTGGTTTACCCCTGGTCTTCAGGGTACCCCAGATCCCTCTTAACATATCCTATTCCCTATGCATCCCTTACAACTTTGTGCCTTTGACTATCTCCTAGGTCTGAAGATACTTTATGCAAAGAGTTCTCAGGCCCTTCGTGTGGATAAGGGTTGCTGACGCCTTGGCTCTGGAACCCTGTTGTGCTCAGCACCCCTTTCTATGTTTGGGAAGAATAGGGGCAGGAGTGGCAGCTATCTCCTCTGCCTTTTGGTTGTGCAGCCATTAAGAGATTGCCCCAAGCTGGGCTTGGTGGCACATGCCTTTAATCTGCACTCAGGAGGCAGAGACAAGAAGATTTGTGAGGCCAGCCTGGTCTGCAACAGAGTTAGTTCCAGAACAATCAGGGCCATGTAAAGAGACCCTGACTCCAAAAACCAAAAAGAAAGAGACA